ACACAAGAGACGTCTTAACCTTTCAGGATGAACTGGTTTCCAAGGGACAACTACTCGTAGTGCGTGCCAGCAAGCCTACGGAAGGAGCTTATGGCAGTGCTACACAGTTTTTACATGGGCATCGAAGGGTGTGTTCGCAAAGCTCCCTCTACTGGCCTCGCATAGCAACCGAGCTGCGACAGTACATCTCGAAGTGTGACATCTGTCTAGTACACCGCGACAACCAAGCCAAAGAACCCCTGCTACAGCACGAGGTGGTGTCCCGACCTTGGGCCAAAGTCGCCGCCGACCTCTGCGAAGTAGATTTTCGCGTTCTATTGGTCATTTCCGACTACTACAGTAATTTCATAGAAGTTGCTCGTCTCAAAAACGTGAAGCCACGCAATGTCATCGAAGAAATGACAGCCGTATTCACGCGGTATGTCATCCCGGACGTTCTCGTCACAGACAACGGTCCCCAATTCGCTTCTGCCGAATTTTCTGTTTTCGCGAACACTTGGCTGTAAAAACGCTGTGAAAACAGTGAAAAGGCTCTTCACAAAATGCAGAGTATCAGGCCAATCAGAGTTCTTAGCCCTGTAAGATTGGCGCAACACCCAAAATGAAGGATTTGGCACCCGTCCCGCCCAGCGCCTCATGGGACGTCGTTGCAAAACGCTTGTACCTGAGGCCGATACACTGCTAAAGCCTCGTTATTCGACTGAAGAGGAAACGCACGCTCTCACAGGCTCCAAACAGCTACAGCAGCACCAATACAATCATCACGCAAAGCCTGTTTACAGCCGCCCCCTTCCGTCAGAAAAAAATCGGAGAAGGGGTATCTGTGGGGGGAGCGGGAGACTGTACATTTTAAGGTTAGCCTCAACGGATAATCTAGTTCTATCTCTAGTGTTAAAACGACCGATAACAAAATTCCAGTGTCTAGTAGCGAAAGACTACAGAACGACTGTCTGCCGTTGCCTTGTCCATAGGCCTCGTTATTCCGCGCGGCTAGTGTGTTTGCGTTTCGGGTCACGTTGTCGGAGCGAGTTTTTTTTTCTCAGATACGCCACCGCAATGCCTTGCCCGAGATTGCGTGGGAAGAAGCCGTAGAGGGACTACGCATGGCAATGTCTACCGCAGCGTCAGAGAAAAAACAGAGAACTGTTGTTTATCGTCAAAGTGTTTTAAAAACAGTGACATCTCTGCATGTTGTTTCACCAGTATTTCGAGTGCACGACCCCTAAAAATCACAAATATTAATCCCCAGCAAGAAGCCAGATTTTCGCCAAGGAAAGAAAAAACTTGATTCTTCGAGAGAGCGGCGGATGGAGCCTAGGTCTAGGACAACACCTAAAAGGCGCTTGGTCTAACGTGTGTCCGGAGTCAAAGTGGCCCGGAAATAAAGCGCAACCAAAAGTGAGTTCACACTTTCCTTAAAATTAACAAATCTAGGGAACAATTTCTTTTACGGTCAACTCTTTTTTACCCTATTTACAGCTAACGGTTTACATGCAGTGAAACAGATTACTGAACGTTAATTTGCTTCCTTGGTCAAATATTTGCCGTATCTACTAATTTTTTTTGACAAGCAACAATCACTTCATTAAAAAAGTAACAAACTCCCCACAATATAAATGTCTGCAGAGGTGTCTAACCTTGTGTTTACTTTGTCCTTGCTGCTTATACAACTGGAAATTCAGACCGTCGTCGCTGTATTTCAGCGTGTAGTTTATTACCCACTGGCTCTGGAAATTACTTCCCTGCGTTGCCACCCATGTGACAGTGACAGGATTGGTACCTAGATCAATCTGTAGCCATTGCTCAGCGTCATTGGCGTAAGCAGACCACGCTTCTTTCAAATTCAGTCTACCCTGACTGGCTTCATGATTGGCATCAAGCTCTGACGAAGCACTAATCTGCCCGTCCGAGATCGCTCCTTTCTCCATACCGAGAGCCTCTTGACATTCTAAATAACAAAGGAAAGTAAAAGGCAATGCCACAAAGATTACGTGCTACTTGGAAATCCGATGGATGTGCTTCTGTCAATGGAAATTTCATAAAAAGCTGTCTTGCTTTTTTTAATGGTTATGAAACAACACATTAAAATGTTGAAAACGATATTTCACTAAGGACGAATGGGAAAGAAGGAGACTAAGGCTCAGTTCAAATGTCGAACTTTTCATGTACTGAACATATCATTTTAATAGAGACTTGGATTTTGGAAGAACAGTTCCCAGTGCCAAGAAAAACTGCTGCAAGTAAAATAGGTAAGAGCGTCCTTTCGTTGCTATGACAACTCTGATGTCGTTGCAACCCTAATCATAACAAACTTTCATCTTTATCTAAGACAACTGTGGTGGCAATTTTTCCAAATCTTTTTTTATGGCGACGTAGTTTATAGTCAAACTTGGGAGGTATTGACCCTGAAAAACTGAATCGAGCCGCCTTAATTAGTCGGACTCATTTCATTTTCAAGATGTACATACTGACTTATACATTAGGTTCGGCACATGAAAATCAGTCGACGTCGCTCCATGTGCACATGAGTCGATCTAAATTAGATGTATCTTGTACTTAATTGAAGGATTAGTTTCGGCAATGAAAAGTTCAACGTTTGAACTGGGCCTGACAAAAAAAAAATGTTGTTTGGGGCAATGCTTTGGTATAAAGCGTTTTTACACACGTGGCTAGAAGCTATGCAAATTGGAACAAAAAGTACGTTTTCACATAAGAAAAAAGTCCAACTCCCACAGGCTGGGTGATGACACCAACATGGCGGAGGTGAAGTCATGTGAAAACAATCCAATTGTTCTAATTTCTAATCGCACTTTTTGAGGCTGCCCATAAAACTCTTAAAAATGTGTGGAAGAAATGGTGGATGCCTTCTTTCCCTGGCAATTTTAACGCCTGCTGAAGAAGGCCGAAAAAAGTATTTCTAAAAATTTGATAATGAGTTAACATGTTACACGTCGATCCTATTGCCCGACCGCACCGGGTATTGTTACATATACTTGGTTGCGGATCGGAAGTGTCTTATTTCCCGTGATGAAAATTAATTTCATATGCTTTTTTATTAATAAAGTACTGGGTAACATTACCCCTAGTTCGTTCTTCTATGGACCAATATTAACCTGCGACTTCGCGCTTTAATTCTTTTACAACATCCTCACAAACGGTTTTTTAACGCTGCTGGAACATCAAGAGAAAAACAAGGGAAGGTAAAAAGAAGTAAAAAACAAAAATTAGAGTTATACGAACCATTACAGCTGACTTTGTTCACTTCCTCGCTCCAGAATCCTCTTATTCCGCACCGAACAGATGAAGGGCCACTAATTTGTTTTCCATTAGCGCAAGAAAATGAACAAATTGAGTCGTATCTTTGATTATGTAAAACACAACTGTCGGGCAAAATTTGTACCTCATTTAAGGAAGAGAGTTTTCGGCACGTAAATCCTTTAAAAGATGAGATATAAAGCAATTTTAAAAGAGTAAAGAAGATAAACAGCGACGACACTGATAGTAGATTACTGAGACCTTTAGATGTGTCAAAAAGTTCATAACTGCGTTTTTCTTTTGTCTACAGCAATAATTATAATAACTTATCCGGGACTTGATCCTCAGTTTACGCTCTTCAATAATTGAAATTTCCGTGTTTTGTTGTTGCTATTTTTTTTTTATTTGTTGTCTTTTTAATTCAATTTCATTAGAATACTCAAGAGAATGGAATAAAAATTCTTCCAACCAAACAATTAAAAAAAATCACACCGTTTTTTTCGCTGTCTGCTCGACCAAGAAAACATTTGACATGCGTCTCTTTGGATATAAAACTATTTAATTTCTTGTTGTCCGAACATAACGTGACCTACCTGAGGACAATTCACAAGAATAATGAAGAGAAGCATTACAGTTCAAGTCATTCCATTTCCTTGACGGACGCATTTCTACGCAATCTTCAGTGCCTTTCCAGTTGTCTGGCTGGTTATAAGCAAAGTTTAGGTAAACCGCTACTGAGCCATTAGTCCATTGCCAACGTGAGTTATTACTCAAGTCACGGTGCAAACCAATCCATGCCCTGAATCTCCAACCAATGCTCTGTTGTTCAGCTTGTGAATCCAACATTGCGAGATTAGATCCAAGTGCTTCACACGCAAATTTTGCCGCGATCCATTCCAGGGTATTAGAGGATAGTTTATAGCAAGTAGATTGGTGTGGAGTCCAATTTTGAGGGCAAACTATAAAAGATAAATATATAAAATTTGAGGTCAGGATTGTAATTTATTTAATCGATTTTATGACTGCGCTTATTCAATTCCCTATTATGCTTACAGATTAGGCAGTAAATGAAATTTGAGGTACATCCTTGAATTTTAAAATCCGGTCGAGTTCTCTTCATAATTATTATTAGATTTATACCAAATTTGCTCAGTGCAAACATAGCACGAAAAAGTACAAACTAGGAGAAAATTATATTAGGGTCAAGATGGTAAATACCGCATTTGCCCCTGAATTTGCAACCCTATCATATAAATTAGGACGCAGTTGCGGTGTTTACCATCTTTCCACCTGATTTCCTCTTAGTTTGCACTTTTTTGCATCATATTTACCCGAGCAAATATTTGGTGTTAATCTAGACATTAGGCGTCCAGTAGTGCTGATTGAACATGCACGTCGGTCATTTCGAAGTGTTTTAAAATGAGCTCGCCTGTATTTGGCAACGTTACACGTTCTTGATGCATTGGCACTACAAGATTTTTCTTAGTTTGTACAGTTTACAACTAAGAAATGAAGGACTTTGTTGATTAGTTTAACTCGGAAATAACTAGTGATAAGGCTTTCCTTGTCCTCTTCTTCTTTTGGAGGCGACTTTTAGGTGACTTTCGCCCTTCCTCGAGAAATTATTATCGCAACGTTACTTGGAACTTTGGCGCTGCATCGGTATAGGAGAGGGGAGTTAGTTTCATCGACGGAATTCGTAAACTTGATTTCTCACCGTAAAAAGATCTTAAAAGAGCTGACCTCTAATGCTATATTCTCTCTTAATATAATAAATGCAACCATATCCACTGACTGTCTGCAGCTTCCGTTCACTTCTCCGGTTTCCCTTAACGAATATCTCTTGGCTGGCTACAATTGTGGGGGAGGAACAGGGGGGGTTGGTGTTGGTTTTCAAACGTGATTTCTTTTCGTTAATCCCTCACTTATAAGTGCACGAACGTGCTAACGGTAGTTATTATAAATCCATTATCACCTACATAAATGATTTTTATTAATAAGCCCAGGGCTACTTTCCCAGCCCTTTTTTGTTATTCACGCATGGGAAAGATATACTTCATAATCTCTACAACGTTTTCAAGCACGTTTTGTTAATTACAAATTTAGCGTTTTTATCTTAGTTCAGTTCTAGTGTAGACTTCATAGTGTTAACTTCTGTCAGCCATTACGGCTTTATTCTTAACTACACTGGTGCTCATCTTCTATGAAGCTCAGTTTAGCTTTTGAGTCAAGATAACATTGGTGTGTGTGCAAACCAACGTGAGTATAGTTTTCTTCTTTTTAGTTTTTGCAGTATCGATTTCATTATAGGAATAACTGCGTTTAGTTTTGGTAATCAATTTGCAGCTTCGCGGTTGTTGCTATCTTTTCTGCTTATTGGAGGAATCTATTTAGTCTTGTTATCACTGAGCTACAGTGGTTTTATAGTGGAGCTCCACGCGCACGAAGCGGAGTACGATGGGTAAGAAAACTTGGTAATCTACGCATCCGAGAAATTTTGGTAATCAGGTGCCCGTACGCCCGACCGACAGTTCGCACCACAGGTTTACCAATGTTTGGAAGCCCAGAGAGCCCAGGAGAAAACTGATTTGCACATCAATGTTGTGATCAATAGACAGCTGTCAAAACAAGGTATCTGCTGAGCGGTATTACCTGACCGTATCGCGGGTTCAGGTGTCCACCCATTCAGGACGCTTATTTTGTTGAAGTTATCCGCTGACAAGTTACTACTTTCACATGATTGCAGGCTCAAGTTTATTTTTTTAATTCATATGAAATATGTTGAGTTTATGTCTCTATGACCCCGCAACCTCGTCCCCAGGGCGCTTTTCCTTGGCTTTGGAGGTGGGGTGGGAAAAGGCCCTGGCATCGGCCGGCCAGTTTGATTGGTTGATTGATTTAGGTAATTCATGTAAGAAAATAGCCAAATGAAAATAATTTATGCATTATACCGAAATCGAAATGGCGGAAAGGACTGTATGTCTACTCCAGCGACGATTTCTTCAAGAAATCCAGTTTGCAGGCTGTGTGGTGGTTCTCATGAGAGTCACTATATGCTTCGAATATTCAGAAAGGCCGGCTTATTTAATGACTTTGTATTCGAAAGTTTATAAAACTTGTGTTAGAAAATTTCTGAGGACGATACGAGGTCAGCAGTGTTATGTAGGAGTGGCGTTCCATTCGTAGACAAAATGGATCAGTCTATTCAGAGAGCTCAATCTGTAGACAATACGCCGTCTGATCTAAACTCAGAACATTCTGTAAAACGATGCGTTCAACTTTCACCGTCTTCGCATCAGCCCTCGAAGCGTCTATCAAAGGATATGCCACCCGAAAACTTCGATGTGGATGAACCTCAATAAAAGGGGGTGGCAGGCCTACACGACTTTTACCTCATGCCAAAATGTTGCTTGTTCCAATAAGTTCTTTTTCCTCTGATGGATAGATTATGCTCTGGAAGGTTCTATATTTTCGCTGCGCAAATGTGTTTTCAGCTGCATGTTTCACACTAAGAGGTCATGACATCGATTTACTGTGGTTTTTGTTTCTGGTCGGCAGGATTTGCCCTCTGATGCAAGAGCGTTTTCTTAGACCTCTTTTGAAGCGTAGAGCTTTTTATTACGGTTGAATTAAGGGTTCTAATTTTCTTCAAAAAGCCCTTTGGATCTCAATAACTAAGCGATTTTCTTTAGTCCGTGAATGTAATGATTTTCTGCAATGTTGTATCACGCTGGGCCCTGCTCGTAAGTCAGTTTCTTTGCAGAATGTTAAATTATCATGGATAGTAATTAACAGATCCAAAATTATAAGAATGAAGTGCAGCTTAAACTGACGCTACATTAACTATGAGAATTGCATTGTGACTTAGTAGACTCTATCTTAGTGTTTTTCTAAAAATAACTTGAAGCCTTTGACTGGAGCGCGTATTTCCTTCCTTGGTAATAGCTTTTGACATAGCTTACCAGTGTTTGGACTGTTTTGTTATTTTCACTTTGTGATCGGGCAAGAGAATCGTTTTGTTTCTCCACGCGAACCTCATTATTTGCCATGTTGGCTTTGTGCTTAGTTGCTTTTAAAAGGGCAACTTTAGTTGTTCTTTATCTTGGTGAGAACAGTACAGCCCGTGAAATAGCATCGACTTGCCAGATCCAGTTGGTAAGACTCCAATAACATCCTGGCCTATCAAGATAGATTCAAAACACTATACTGGAAGAGGTTTAAAATTAAGCGATGAAAAGTCACCGTTACTCTGGAAAATTGCGACCCGGCGAAGCACTGACAACAACTCTGGTGTACCCGCCATCTTCGATGTTTTGCTTATCGTATGTGATCTTATGCTAATTTAGAACACCCACAAATTCTGGGTGTTTGGTGGTCATGTGACCGGCCGATGCCAGGGCCTTTTCCCGCCCCACCTCCAAAGCCAGGGAAAGGCACCCTGGGGACGAGGTTGTATGGCCCCGCGCTATTAACATTTTGATTTCAAACTGACCTCGGAAGCGAAAATTCAGCCAGTTATTTAAAAATACAAGCAGGCAAGACGGATGCTTTTCACTATTCTCAACATAGTCACGCGTTGGTCAAGCTCTACGTCCAATTTTTATGCTCTGAGTGGTCAAAATTTGACCGGTGAGTTCATGCGGAAAATTTATACAGCATCTTGAGACTTATCTACTTTGACAGCTGAAGCTGAGAGAGTTTTTTGTCAACTTGTGATGTTTTTAAGTGTCTTTTTCCACTGGATGCACAAAATGAAATACAGCTGCTAACAAGAGTCTTCTGTTATTCATGGCTGTTTTTTTATTGAATTTTTGGTTGAGAAATACGCCGCTTGTAAAAGTCGGAAATCCGGTTTCGGATGGCATCGTTTTCGTTTTTCAACTTGCTGGATGCGGGTTGAAAAGTCTCAAGCGATTCTGGCCTTACTTGATAGCTTTCAGGAGCAGCATCTTGAATGGTAAGACTGAGTAATTATTGTATTTTAGTTTTGTTGTTTGTTTGTTTGTTTTTTTTTTTCATTATTATTTCTAATTTCATGAAGTCGAGCGCAGTTTATAAGGCTAGTTTATGCTCATTTGTATTAAACGTAGTATGAGCTTTGATATAAGCTTACAGAACTTTAAAAAGCCTTTAGTCGATTACCTAGGGTACCAGAGGTTTCTCTCACGTGCGGCGACAGTTTTCGTTGTTGGTCGAAGGCCGACACATCTTCCGCCGGACCCGCGCTAGAAAAGTCTCTGGCACCCAGGGTATTAGTCGATATTTCCTCACCGCAAATAGAAAGAAAAAAAGGTCCCAAGAGTGTTTAGTTATAGTTCTGGCTGTAGAAAGAATAAAGCTTTGAGCGATTTTCTTGCCTCGAGTTCATCTTTCAAAACAGTAAACACCGGGAAGCCGGCTTAAAACATAAACTGCGCAGCTTCAAGCTTAAAGACTCACGGGCGGTCCAAACTCACGTTACGAAGGAAAGGTGTAATGTAATTTACATACCATAGATGACGCGCCGGTGTCGCGTTACAGGCGACCGTTGAAAATATAAGAGACTCTGTATGAGAAATATATTACTGAGATCTGCGAACGCTAAATAACGCTAAACCTTACTTCAGTAGTTTCTTTGTTGCCGTGAAATTTGACCCTATCTGTGTTAATCGTCAGACCCTAGAGACTGAAAGGACTTGATATTAGCAGTGATTTAAAATGGAATGTCCATGTGTCAGAACTAGTTAGAAAGGTCTCAACAAGATTATATTTTCTAAGACAGCAGGGAAATCGCATGTTGCTTCAAGGGAGCTAGTTCTATTTTACATCACATGCATTCGCTCTATACTGGAGTACGGCAGCCCAGTTTTTAATCGCGCTCTACCAACTTATCTAAGCGAAGACCTGGAAAGACTGCAAAAACGTGCTATGAAGATTATTTACCCTGAGCTATCATATGTTAAGGCTCTAGAGCTGTCTGGACTTTTAACACTGTATGATAGAAGAGAGGCAATTGCGACAAAGTAGTGCGATGAAATATGTGCTAATCAATCTCATAGTCTCCACAAACTACTTCCAAGTAAATACCAGCCAAGCCACTCTCTGAGAGAACAAGGAACATTTATTCTTCCATAGCGTAAAACTGAAAGATGCAAGAATAGTTTCCTTTTAAGTTATGTTTACAGTAGCTGATAACTAGATATAATTTTGTTTCTTATTGTATATAGGAACGTGACGCATGTTTTTGAATTTATGATTTTATAACAGTCGTTAATATCGTAAATTATGTTGGATCATCCTTCTTTAATTAGTTGTTAAGCGTTTTAATTAGTTTTAATCTAGTGCAGTTGTAAATTATTGCATTTGTAAACCTATCTATCTATCTATCTATCTATCTATCTATCTATCTATCTATCTATCTTACCGGTTTTATTCAGATGTATTTGTATTCTATAATATATAGGTTTAGCCAGGGCTAAAAGCGAAGCTCCTATACATTAACTCGAATTTATAATTTAAATCAAACAATAAACTTGTTTTCCACAATTCAGTTAACTTTAGAGCACATTCATGTCACTTTTGAGGGAAAGGTTAAGTGATTTTAGAGAAAAGTAATTTGCAAACAGTCCAAGCTATATATAAAGAGTGAACTTAATCTTACATCGAGTTGACAGCCTTATATGTACACCCAAAAAATAGCAATCATCTTCGATCACATTTAAGAACGCGGGCTCTTGATCACAGTAGATTAGGCCTTAAAAACAATTTCTTGGAAAACAAATCAGGCCGAATTTTTTTGCGTTCGACAAGTTTACTTTACAAAATCTTGCCAACAAGTCTGGGTACGTGTAACCCAACCTTTTATACTTTTTATACATCACATCTGAGGTGAAACAGTACCATGAGGCGCTGTTTTTATCATACAGACCTCGAACAGAATGCAGTATTTCACAATTTTGCAATACAAATTGCACTCACTCAATATTCAGGACGATCGAAGCACGTGTGGGCTTTCAGCGAAACCGTTAAAAAAAATTCCAAAATCACCTATACGGCTAGCCGGCTCTCACTTTTGACAAGCGCCAAAGTCGACTGTTTAAATTATGATTAATAGAGTTAAACGCTTCAACATAATAAAGAATTTATTATGTTTACTTTTTATTTAATGGTTTTAAACCGAGGAGTAATCGTCAAAAGCGTTTGATACGCGCGGCTTTTAGACTACTCCTGCATGCAAGCGGTGTTCATGAGCGACTTAAAACAAACGCGACAGCGATAAAAATTGCAAGAGATTACTAACAATCAATAAAAGGAAAATGATTCGCTGAAACATATACAGAGACAACAATTTTCATTCACGAAGACAAGTATTAAAGTGTCTCTGAAAATCCTTGTTTATGTTTTTCATTTTGTAAGCCGGCTTCCCGGTGTTTCCTTTTTCAAAGATGAACTCGAGGCAAGAAAATTGCTCGAAGCTTTCTTTTACAGCCAGAATTATAACCAAATATTCTTTGGAACGTTTTCTTTCTATTTGCGGTGAGAAAATGTGAGATATGTCCAGAAATGCACGCATTGGCGAAAATGGCAGAAATGGCAATTAATCGCCAAAATCGCCAAACTGTAAACAAAAATTCATATGAGATGGCAAAGGGGCCCTTTGCAAAGTGGCGATTTCGGCGAAAATGGCGTATTTGGCGAAAATGGCAGAAATGGCGCTTAATCGCCAAAATTGCCAAACTATAAACAAAAATTCAAATGAGATGGCAAAGGGGCCCTTTGGAAAGTGGCGATTTCGGCGAAAATGGCGTATTTGGCGAAAATGGCAGAAATGGCGCTTAATCGCCAAAATCGCCAAACTATAAACAAAAATTCAAATGAGATGGCAAAGGGGCCCTTTGCAAAGTGGCGATTTCGGCGAAAATGGCGTATTTGGCGAAAATGGCAGAAATGGCAATTAATCGCCAAAATTGCCAAACTATAAACAAAAATTCAAATGAGATGGCAAAGGGGCCCTTTGCAAAGTGGCGATTTCGGCGAAAATGGCGTATTTGGCGAAAATGGCAGAAATGGCGCTTAATCGCCAAAATCGCCAAACTATAAACAAAAATTCAAATGAGATGGCAAAGGGGCCCTTTGCAAAGTGGCGATTTCGGCGAAAATGGCGTATTTGGCGAAAATGGCAGAAATGGCACTTAATCGCCAAAATTGCCAAACTATAAACAAAAATTCAAATGAGATGGCAAAGGGGCCCTTTGGAAAGTGGCGATTTCGGCGAAAATGGCGTATTTGGCGAAAATGGCAGAAATGGCGCTTAATCGCCAAAATCGCCAAACTATAAACAAAAATTCAAATGAGATGGCAAAGGGGCCCTTTGGAAAGTGGCGATTTCGGCGAAAATGGCGTATTTGGCGAAAATGGCAGAAATGGCGATTAATCGCCAAAAACGCCAAACTGTAAACAAAAATTCAAACACGATGGCAAAGGGGCCCTTTGGAAAGTGGCGATATTGGCGAAAATGGCGTATTTGGCGAAGATGGCAGAAATGGCGATTAATCGCCGAAATCGCCAAATTATAAAAAAATGCAAATGAGATGGGAAAGGGGCCCTTTGCAAAGTGGCGATTTCGGCGAAAATGGCGTGCACTAATTCTGTATCTTTTCATCAACCACAAATAAAAAAAAACATAGAGTGCATGTTGGCCTCGTTCTTAAAACGTGTTTTGGCAGAAATGGCAATTACTCGATGAAATGCCTAATTTGTCAAGACAAATTGAAATGACATAGCAAAAAGTTAACCATATATTAATATAAAAATGTTTCCAATAGTATAATTGTATACTAATAATGACAACGCTACTGTAACTTAAGTGTCATTAATCAGTTTTTAATGCTTTTACCTTTAATTGATAACCTCTTGTGATTTGAAATTCGTCCCAGACAAGAGTGTTTGGTCGGGAATTACCACTTATAACTAATTTCTTGCTCAATTCAAATCGAATGGCCAACGAGTTGTATTCGATTATCAGTAAATGGTAATCTTCGTAATGTTCATGGCAACTTTCTTACCAAAAAATCCAAGATAGGTATCCTTAATTTTCCAAGCTTGTAGGCATTGTTTGAATAGCGACAGTTCAACATTATATGTTATGAGGAATCCAGGTTGGTTCTTGGCTACGCATTCAGATAATTAGATGGTCCGAATTTCCTTGTATATCCATCCTGTTTGTTATAATGGCGTTCAATCGTACAAGTATATATAAACGAGCTGGTTCATTGCAGTTTCACAGAACATGAACGTGTAAGGTTTAGTAGTTGTTGTATAGACGCGGCGGCCATGTTGAAATAGTCGATTTTGGATAACTACTTTATGTAAGTAGACACGATTAATGTCATTCCCAGCCGACTTTGGTGGTCACTCTATGTAAGCAAAACGATTAATGTCGTTCACAGGGACTGTCAGGCAATTGTTAAAATAGAAGGTAAAAAGGCCGGGTGACGTGTTTCGACGAGCATTAACATTAGCAATTTAATGGAACACATATTGTACTAAGAATTGGTTTGGTGGTCTCAGCGCAAAAAACAATACATTTTCTAAATTTCTGGCCCCACCTCATAAAGCAATAATGGGACACATTTTTTTAAGAACGAGACAAACATGTACACTCTCTTTTTATATATCTAGTTGATGAAAAGATACAGAATTAGTTTGAATGGGATATGTTTTATGAAAGAGACAAACAAGTTATTACTTTGATCCAATGTTTATGTTCAATAAATACGGTGAAGTATTAAGCACAAGTGACATTTCGTGTCGGTTTACATAAATCGGAAATAAGTGAATTCACACATTTCAAAATGGCACATGCAAGCTGCGGACATTTCGGCTTTGGGTACTTTTAGGGGACCGTTTCTGTAAAGAGCAAAACAAGTAAGTGCGAGAAGAAAGTGAAGAGTTTAAAACGACGGAAGAAGAAAATGTGTATAGTGGAGAACCAAAAAAGAATGAAGGGCACACAATGGTTATCGTGAAAGCATCTTTTAGCTCCTTTTAGCCAGGAACCATGCGTTTCGCAATCGCTTTTGATTTACGGCTGCCTCACAATTTAATGGAACCAATGTGAAGAGAATTGTAACCAGTGAGAATTGTTAAGGTCTACATCGAACCTCAAAAGTTAGAGTGTCCATGGCAAGGAATTATTATGATTTCAAGGACTTGGTAGTTCTCTCCTCGAGTAATTAGTGGACTTGTAAGTCTTTGAAAGGAATGAACCATACAAAAGCAAATGATGCTAGTGTGATATTTCAGCGCATCACATCACTTTTGGTAAGTCAAGGGACATCGAAAGTAAGGAAATGTTTACTTAACCTTTGAAGTACATGGCACAAATACATATTAGCTTAACTGAAACGACTTCCATTTGTTGTTTTTAGATGTATTTGATTCAGTTGTATTTGATAAAATAATGTTGTTTGACAGTTAGGTAAAGCTGTTTTGTCATATATTTGATTCAGTTGTATTTGATAAATGTTGCCTCACAGTTATTGGGGCCTCTTATTAGGCAAGTAATTTGAACTTTTTTTAGTACTGTTGCCTCACAGTTATAAGGACCTCTTTAGTTATCTACTTTGAAGGGGCCACTTTTGGCATCCAATTTGAATATTTTGCCACATATCGCCAGCCCTCTGGCGATTTTTGCCAAAATCGCCATTTTCGCCAAAATCGCCATTTTCGCCAAAATCGCCAGCCTCCAAGGGGACACTTTTGGCATCCAATTCAAATCGCCAGCGGCTGGCAGTTTTTTTGCCATTTTCTCCATTGCATGCATTTCTGGCGATTTTTGACAAAATTGCCAATTTTGCTACAATCGCCATTTTCGCCAAAATTGCCAGTCTCCAAGGGTCTGGGACATTTATCGCTACTATCGCCAGCCCTCTGGCGATTTTTGCCAAAATCGCCATTTTCGCCAAAATCGCCATTTTCGCCAAAATCGCCAGCCTCCAAGGGGCCACTTTTGGCATCCAATTCAAATCGCCAGCGGCTGGCGATTTTTCGCCAGTTTCGCCATTTTCGCCATTGCATGCATTTCTGGACATAAGTGGAAAATGTCTAAAGGCTTTTTAAAGTTCTATAAGCTTATAATCAAACCTGATACTCGGTCAGATCATTGTCTCAAATCTTACAATTAAAAACGTGCATAAACTAAATAGCCGCATAAACTACGCTCGACTTCATTGAATTAGATATTAAAAACAAACGTCAAATACAATAATTACTCAGGCTTACCATTCGAGATGCACTGAAACTATCAAGTAAGGTCAGAATCGCTTCAGACTTTTCAAACCTCTTACGCATCAAGCAAGGTGAAAAACGAAAACGATGCCATCCGAAATCGGATTTCCAACTTTGACAAGCGACGTACTTCTCAACCAAAAACCCGATAGACAAACTAGCCATGAATAACAGAAGACTCTTGATAGCAGCTAAATTTTATTTTGTACATTCAGTGGAAAAAGATAGTTAAAAACATCACAAGTTGACACAAAACACTGTCAGCTTCAGCAAAGTAAACAAGTTTCAAGATGCTGCATAAATTTTCCGCATCAACTCACCTGTGAAATTTTGACCAATCAGAGCATAAAAATTGGACGTAGCTCGTGACCAACGCGTGACCTTGCTGAGAAAAATCAAAAGCAAGTGGCATGTCTTCCCTGCCTGTAAAAACTGGCTGAATTTTAGCTTCCGAGGTCAGTTGGAAATCAACATTTTAATTGTGCGGCACATACAAAACACAACATATTTCATATGAATTAAAAAAAAATTAACTTGAGCCTACGATCATTTGAAAACTAGTAACTTGTCAGCGTATAACTTCAAAACGATATTCGACCTCGATGGGTCGACACCTGAGCCCGCGATACGGTCAGGTGATACTGGTCAGCGGATCCCCTTTTTGACAGCTGTCTATTGATCACAATATTGATGTGCAATATCCGTCTTCCTGTGCTCCCATACTGGCTAGAAAGTGTGAGGATTAAACGCTAGTTGGTGCGGACGGACGGGCGGGCGGTGTACGGTCACGTGATTACCAAATTTTTTGGGATGGGTAGATTTACTTACCCATGGTGCTCCGCAGGCGCGTTTCGCGCGCCAGAGCTCCGCTATAATCTAAGCTAAATACGTTTGCCGTTCGATGTTATCGTTTTCAGTTCGAACCGACTTTGTACGACTTTCTACCGATTTTGCGTCCTTCAAAACTTAAAGACCTTTTGTCGCGTCAATCGACCCCGTCGATTCTTCTGTATCAAGTTGTGACCTCTGTGCTAGAAAAATTGATCTCTGGTTTAATAAATCTGTTCATGTTACGTCGAGTTCGTTTTATGTCGCGCACCGTATTAAGAGCCCATGACTGTAAATATCGAGAATCGCTGGCCAGGCTAAACAAATCGAAATTCTGATAATTTGTCAGAAAAACCCCTTTGGGGAACTATCTTCGAAAAAAATATTTTCAACTTTCAAGAACCTATAGTTTTCGACAAAATGAGGAAAAACGAAAATAGCGGTTTTTACCTAATTAATTATGCTAAAATTAGAGTAAAAATGACCTACTTTATCGCCTCTATACCGAAGCAAGATTCAAAGCTATAAATCAGAAGTATTTTTGTTTAAAAGCATTCTATCTTTTCTTTCTATCCATGGTATGTTTTAAACCATAAACTTGATTTTGAATTTTTTATGGTTTTTAAAAACTACCATCAATGGCACTTTTTAAAATGGATAAAAAATTAGCAGCTTCAGAGGCAAAAAACTCACCTTGGTATGTGTGATACCTAGCCAAAATTTATACCAGGACAAAGTCCAGCTCTTATATTTACAGAATATGAAATAAAAAATCTGGGTATTCGGGATTCGCTCTTACAAAATAAAAAGTTTCGTGACCACCAGTGGAAAAATGTCACAAATTTGTAGAGAAATGTTGCGGCAGCCGGTTTTGTTTCAATTCAGGGTCAGTATGGAATGTTCGGAAACATCACGAAGTAAGAAAACGTTTTTTGATAAAGTTTATGTTAAAATATCAGAGTAATTAACCGTTCCCAAAAAAATAATGATAAAAAACCGACCTCGAAGAAGCGTTATATAAAAGCGCCGAATTATTATGTAAACTATATCCCATGTCTCTCGTTTCGTTTCCTAACTTCCTTGTATTAGCATCCATCTGTATTATCGTAAATTCGCCTCCGGTATGTCTAAAATAGGTAGGTACATTTTCCTTGAAATTTTATTTGCGAACGGGATACACTGCGTGAGAGGAAGTCATAAACTAACAGTTGGAGCAACAACGTCACGCAACGACGTCTCGAGCAGCTCTGCCTTCTTTCACTGATTTGTTTCTCCTTATGAAATTTTATGAACCAAAACAAGTTCCAACCGACACCGCCGAAGAACTGGAAAAGGAGACTGCAGTCGAACCTCCCGAAAGCGACCACCCAAAATGCGGAGACTTAGTGGTCGCTAACAGGAGGTGGTCTCTTACGAGAATCGAACCACAGGAGGTTTTTTTGAGAAGAAAACTGGACACATCTACTTTAAGGAAGATAATTTATTGCGTGCAATTTCCAAGTTACGATATGTGCAGTTCCATGTTGTTGTTGTTCCTACCACAAGAGATCAGAAACTCGTCAGGTGGTCGCTTACAAGAGGTTAAAAACAGCCCCAATTAGTGGTCGCGGGCGCTTACAGGAGAGATTCCAACTGAAAGACTTAACTGGGTGGGTTTTGGTGTTTTGGATAGGTGGTCGCACATGGAGGTTCAACTGTACTCCAACAGAGTAAATCACCTTTCACGACGATGCGTATAGGACTTGTCCATGGAAGATAAGACTCCTTGTTCACCACTTTTGAGCTACTTTAACCAATTCACACCAATGTCGAGTGTTTGCAAAACGTAGCATCATCGTGAAAAGAGAATTCAGAAAGGTCATCCTTGACGCCCCTGGCCTATCGCAGTATGCGGCAGCGAACTTATATCGACGTAAGTACCATTTACTAACCGGGCAGTGAGGCGACGCAGAGTAAAAGCGTAACTTGACTACGTTTTTCAGTTTGCAGCAGACCCGAGTTTTGTTCAAAGAAATACCTGCCTTTTGCTCAGGAGTATTAACGTCAGTACCCGCAATGTCCCAGCTCGTGCCTTCACACCGGAACGTCCGATCGAATCACTGTTCAGTTGATAGTTACCCTTCTCTTCCTCTTCCCGACTTATCTGGGAAGATCGAAGGGCCTCTGATCGCAGGGTAGTTGATAGCTACCAAGGAGCTAAATAACATAGCGAGGTAAGTAAGTGGTATCGGCGGTTTCATTTATGCCTAACCGTTTCCCAAAGTAAAGAAGGAAAGAACTTCAGACAAAGGGAAAGAAGAGTTTTGCGATAAAACTGTGAACAAGGAGTCTGCTCTTAAATTGGTGTTTAGCTATGGCATATGCGAGGGGGTGGGGGCTATTTAATTGCTGAATAACGTGTGCCGTTACCAAAAAAATTACGGAAAAACATTTTTTCCCTAGTTTGGAATTTTGACCATGAAAATTTTAGATCTAGCCATTTGTGATACCAGGCCAAAAAAAATCCAATATTTAAATATTTCCCTCTTAGCAGCACGCCCTCTAATTATAGTGTCCTTAAGTTTGGACGGTATCTAATATTATATATCCGTAGGAACGAAACATGACAACAGCTGGTTACAGATTGTCAATGTGTGAAGCGGGGGATCTGGCCTCCCTGTGACAGTTCTTGTCAAGAAGACCCCAAATCAGTATGTTTGCTGTTTTAGGTTAATTCTGTGCTAAAGTCATTACTTACTGCCCTTACCCAGTCAAAAAATGTTCAGTGAAGACTTGTAAGTATCATTTTATCAGGGAGCACTAGCCAAAAATATCTTTTTGGGTGATGTATTTAAACTTGAAAAGATGGCCCAATTTTTCCAATTTTCAGTCCATGTCCATCCTGGCCATCAGTAGTAACAGAACGCGACAGGAAACAGTTTCAGTGCCTAAATATAGTCTTACATGACAAAACTGGACCATAATTTTTGGAACTAAATTGATGCGAAATGAAGACCATATTAGCTTTTTAAAATGAGCTTGGCATAGCCGCTTTAACTCTTTTTTGACGGCCAATTTTAGTAGAAGAAAACCCTGCCTTTTGACCAAATCCTCCCTTTTGGACCGCCTTTCAACCAGTTAGTAGCCTGCATAACAGGCGTTATTTTTTTCGCGTTTTTGCAGGAGAGCGAAGGCAATCACGAAGTGAGTGAGAAGCGCCAGACAAGCGCGATGGGGAGGACGCAGAAAAAACAACGGCCTGTCCACATGCCATTGCTTTTTGGCATCCCGCCCCAGACATACCCCTTAATGGCTCTCCTCACTCGCTTCGCGCTTGCATTCGCTCCGGCTTCGGGCTTAATTGCCTTCGCTCGCCTGAAAAACGTACACCTGTTATGCAGGCTAGCCTGTTAGCTTGATATGCGAATGGCTGAAAAAGATTTGCAACACAAGACTGCTCAATTGGACGTACACTAATTTAGAAGCTTTTTTGGCGCATTCACAGAAGCCAAAATTTGGACATCTCTTAGGAACCTATATCGATCTTTCTCTCCCGCTCTCTTTTTTCCCTTTGCCTTTCTTCTTCTGTTGCCCCGGCACTTGATCGTCTTCTGACTGTCTTTGCTTTCCAAAGAATTTTGGCTGGCAAACTTTTCAGGAAAGGGACATTTAATTAATCAGTAGAGAATAGAAGGTGAATAGAAAATCTGGAAGTAAATTTTTTTTACCCCAAATGTTGCTTTTTTTGTGAGTGTAACTCTCTCAAGATAAATGAAGATAGGTGAAAACTTGCTAAATGAGGTACCAGTGGAAAGATCTATCCTTGTTGATTCTGATCAGTTTATAACCTTGGTGAATAAATGGAAAGCTAAATGGGTTCATGAAGGATATTAATTGTTAAAAAACACCAAAACGACCCCAGTGTCGGCAGTACTCCCTCCATCTAATTTACTTTTTCTATTGAGAGGACAATTGCAAGGATTCTTGAGGGTCCTTTCAACGAAGATTTCAATTAATCAATCCAACAATTACGGGTCGGTCCACTTGGCGATCTTTGACCATCTTAGGGTGTTCGAAATCGTGTCTGGACTTGAAAGTGTTCAACGCACGAACAGTGAAGAGGCAGAAAGAGGAGGTGGAAGAATTTCAGAAAAGAGAGGAGCGAAAAGGCTGCAATGATTACTTTAATCTTGTCTTTACTTACGTTATTTTTAATATGCGAGACGTCGCAATTTCACCATAATATAACTTTGAAAAACTACTGAGAAAATTAACTATTTCGGATTTTTATTGATTGAAAACTCATAGGGTCTGATGTACAATGTTATTAATGGCACATCTCCTAAAATACCTTGACGAATGAACTATCGGTACCATAGAAGCATGTGCCCACTCCAAGAAAGATGCGTGACCGCGAAATTCATTCAGGTGAATAAAGTAAAGTCATCTGACATGAATAATATTTCTTTACACACTTCATAAGCTCACAGTTTTTTCATCGTACCAGTAAAAATAAAGTCTGACGGTGATGAGTTTGACAACGGTCACGCAATTGCGGAATACAGTACTCCAACACCCAACAACAATTGCTGAGCAACCTTCATTTTGCAATGTACAATTAAGAAGAGCTAAGATACGAATTACAAAACATTTAACATTAGCTATTCTCCTGGTTATGCTATTTCAAGCCCCAAATATTGCGTGATGCTAACAGTATTGAAACCCGTCCTTGTGTACGATAGGAAATATGCAGATGCATTTATATGCAAATTTATCACATTGTGTCACCAACATTCACAGTAATTTGTTATCAGGGATATCAATTTTTCAGATCCTTGACTTAATTTTAGCTTCATTTAAAGGCGCTTTCATCCTTTCTCCTACGTTTCGAATATACCACGTACCGAAACTACAAAGAAAAATCAAGCGGCATCATTTCTCTACAAATTTGACTTATGCAAATTTGTGACATTTTTCCACTGGTGGTCACGAAACTTTTTATTTTGTAAAGGCGAATCCGGAGTACCCAGATTTTTTATTTCATATTCTGTTAATATAAGAGCTGAACTTTGTCCTAGTATACATTTTGGCTAGGTATCACAGATGCCAAGGCTAGGTTTTTGCCTCTGAAGTTGCTCATTTTTTAGCCATTTTAAAAAGTGCGCTTAGTGGTAGTTTTCAAAAAACCGTTAAAAATTCAAAATCAAGTTTATGGTTTAAAACATACCATGGATAGAAAGAAAACATAGAATGCTCTTAAATATTAATATTTCTGATTTATAGCTTTGAATCTTGCCTCGGTACAGACGCGATAAAGTAGGTCATTTTTACTCTAATTTTTGCATAATTAACTAGGTAAAAACCGCTATTTTCGTTTTTCCTCATTTTGTCGAAAACTATAGGTTCTTGAAAGTTGAAAATATTTTTTTCGAAGATAGTTCCCCAAAGGGGTTTTTCTGACAAATTATCAGAATTTTCGATTTTTTTAGCCTGGCCAGCGATTCTCGATATTTACAGTCATGGGCTCTTAAGTGATTTACTTGGATTTTTGATTCCGGTATTTTTGCCTTGTAAATTACAGTTGGAAAACGGGAGAAAAGGGGCAGAAGGAGTGCAGAAGGCGGGAGAGAATAATAATAATAATAATAATAATAATAATAATAATAATCGAATATTTACAAAGGATGACCGTTCAGTGCCAAGTACTGTTATCAACGGGGTGTGGATAACTAAAAACTGAAAAAAAAAAACTATATTTATAGATAGCTCAGTGTCTCCCTCAAATTGAGAAGAGTTTGTGTCTGGCTTGGTGTCATGTTGTTGCACAGACAAAGGGCTATCATCTGGTATGCCTTTGGGGTAACCTGGTTAAATTTCAGTGGGGTGGGTTTGTTCTAAAGACTATGCTTTGTGCTAGGGTGCGGATTTTCTGAGTTTTTGTACCAGGGCTTACCCCTGTCTTTCAAAGCTCAGTGTCTCCCTCAAATTGAGGGGGTTTGTGACTAGCTGGGTGTCATGTTGTTGGACAGACATAGGGCTATCATCTGGTACGCATTGGGTTGGGGTAGACTGGTCAAATTCCAGGCGGGGGGTTGTTGTACACTTTGATGTGTTTTCGCACCGCTATGCAGTTTGTTTATGCTGTTTGCATGCAAGTTCCAACGATAAATGGGGTGAACTGGGGAAATGACTTTGCAATCGGTGACGCCAACACTAAAAATTGTCCCTTAAAATGCCTTATTTTCCAGACTAATGAGGAAAGCTTCACTTTTGTTAAGACAGACGTTTCTATCAAAGGGAAGCTCACGATATTCAAGAATTTCTTTTTGAGGTGAGATTTTACTTTTCAAGTAAGAAGGGGCATTAAATTACCAATCAGTGCGAGAGACTGACATGTTTTAGGAGCCGGGTTTTTAATTCTAAGAATAAACAAAAATACATAAAAGAAATCATGCACTAAGTTAAAAACGGTTAAAAAGTACAATGAAAAAATTACAGGTAATAAGAAGTACTAAAGAACAAACAAAATATATAGAAAGCAAACATGCACTAAGTAAAAAAAAACGTTTAAAAACTACAATATAAGTTAAAAGTAAAAATCGCCCAAGGTTTTCCTAAATAAAACTTTAGAATTAATGTTTCCTAAACTTAAAGGGACACAGTCAGCTATGGGACCGCGCTGACCTGGACACTACTTTTGTTAGTTTGAAAAGAGTTTACTTCAACCCGAAATCAAATGAAAGCGTTGGCTTCATCTAGAAATCCGCCTCAATCTTGCCTAGTGTTTCATTCGATTCTCGATCTTTTACAGAAAACTCTCTTATTTGGTTAAAAACAGTATCCAAAGGAACATGAACAGAAGTGGTGAGAAACGCGTAGGCGCCGGGCGGGACAAATCGCTTTCGTTTACCAAAATAACAAAAGAAATGAATCAATAACCTTGGCGAGAAAATAATCGTTATATGTATTTGAAAAATCGATGGAAAAGGTTTCACATGCTTGGAAAATCAAACTTTCTCGACCTTGAACCTTCCACAATGATTCATGCCGACTCCGTGTCATTTCTCACCTCTACTGATGATCGAATTCAGGAGTATTCATCGATGTTTGGCTTTTCCTGGACAAATCCATCAGTGAATTTTTAATGGTATATTAAAAAATGTGTGCTCTGATGTGGCTTAGGGTCTATAATCACGATTTGGGCTTGTAACTAGTTCAACTCTACAAGGTTTGTTTTGAGTATTCCGGATACGCTTCTCTCTTTCTGTTTCACGCGAGTGTCTTGTGACATGCAAATCAGCTAAGAAATGGTATCTAATGCGCATGTGCATAAGCTGACTGTGTCCCTTTAATGGCAGTGAATTAAAAAGCGAGGCACCTAAGAAATAAAAACTACGGCGCGCAAAATCCAGTTTCACCTCGGTAGTTTTGCTGCTTTCCCATTGTTTCTAGTGTACAAAGAATTATGGTGAAATCGTTGAAAGTAATGTAGTTCCATTGTGCCAGTCAAAACAAAGCAGCACGTTTTCTTTTGCAAAGAGTTGTCAATTGTTAAAAATCGAAGATCGCAGTTCTTTGGACTGCATTTCGGGGTAATGACTTCGAGGCTTCGTTTCTAAATGGAGCTGATCATGCGTTTGCGGGACTCAGACCATCTGGGGTTATTATAGCCGCAATACGTAAATTTGATATAATCGCCAATTGGTGAATTTGTTGGGCAATAAAAGTATCAATGCTGGAAGGGATGCGCCGTAACAGGTTCACTCTTCCTGCTGCCTTCTTGTAAATTTTGTGAAAATGTGTATTAAGATTAAGCGTCCGGTCCAGATGGACGCCAAGGTACTTATAACATGTAGAGGCGTTAACAGGAGAAACATTGACCGAGAGGTTTACTTGACGGTCATGCAATAGATTCGACCGTTTCCTGGTGCCAAAATGCATCACCTCAGTCTTTCCCTTCTTTAGATTAAAAAAAAAGTTCATTATCACGAAACCATTTAGAGAGATAACCCAAGTCCTGAGAAAGATGGCCTTGTATCACATCGAAATTATTCGAGGACGAGAAAATTACAGTATCATCAGCATAGGTGATAATCTTACGATGACGAAGGGGACTATGCACATCATTAAAGAAGATGAGAAAAAGGAGAGGCCCCAGGATAATTCCTTGAGGAACTTCTGTGTAAACAGGATTTGGTTCAGAAAGCACACCACTAAATTGAGCGATCTGCTTGCGAAGGAATAAATTATGAGTAAACGATTGTACTTCCATATCATATACGCCATAACGGGACCGTTTTCTTAATAAAACGGAATGACCGATGGTATCAAACCCCTTTGAGAAGCCAATGAAAACTGTTCCTGTTGCCTTAAGACTGTCGGCCTCCTTTCTGATGAGATCTGTGAAATAAGTAACAGCTTGTTCCGTTGAGCGATTCGGACGGAAACCAAACTAGTACTCAAAAAGTAGACTAAGACGCTCCAGGTGGGTCATTAGCTGCTTGCATACTATTTTCTCCAACATTTTTTACAAAGAAGGGAGAATTGAGATAGGTCTGTAATCGTCTATCTCTGCCAGAGAGCCAGATTTGAAGAGGGGAATCACCTTTTCCACTTTCCACTCACTAGGCACAACTCCAGTTTCAAGAGATAAATTGATAATAAATGCAAAAGGCTAATAGTCAAAACAGGAGCAGCGTCTTTGAGCAATCGCGGGGGGAAATTATCCAGCCCACACACCTTTTTCCGCTTAAGATTTTTCAGCTCTTTAAGAATTTCTGATTCTTTCACAGCTTTAAAAGTGAACTGACTTTCCGTAACTTGATTGGGAAGATTTTCTTCGGAGGTTTGCTCCAAATAAAGTCAAGAAAAACGATTGATTTGCTTTTCAGATTTCTACCAATGGTGCTAAAACATTTACAAATTAAAGCTGTTTGCAATGAAGCTTTTTTCAGTTGACTTTGATCCATTTCTCATAAACGCAGAACCTTGTTCAGAAGGTAACTTGGTAGCATAGAGCTTTTTATGGCTGACCAAAATTTAACAGGAGAGTCAGCACAATCTTTAAGGAGATCTCCATTATATCTGCTTTTACATTTTTTAACAAGCCTAGAGACTCGGTTGCGTTGCCGTTTATAAGAAGACCAATCGTTTTCTTGATTCTTCCTGCGGGCTTTCCTGAACAAACCATCCCTTACATTAATCTCTTTTTTGACGTCCGGAGTCAACCAAGGACATAATCGGCCTTTAACCTTCTTTGAAATGAGGGGGGCATGCTTGACGATACATCGCTGCAGAATGTCTCGAGAAATTCAAAGAAAGAGAGGCAAAAAAAATAGTTGAAAGTTACTCAACAATGCTTAATATTTCGCCATCGAAGGAAGGCTAGCGGGAAGAAGTTAAGAAAAAAGGGGAGAAAGCCGAATATGCAAAGCTATGCACGGTACGGTAGGCGGGAGGTTTGAACCCCGTGTCCCCTTTCCCTCCTTCCAAAACGTAAATTAAGAGGTGGACCTCTGGCCTGAAAGAACCTTTTCAAATAAACCAGGCTCCTATATGAACCCAGTCTAATGTTTTTAACGCTGCGAGTCTCTAATGTGGTAGAGCATCTGGAAAAGTCACCAGAAGGTCGACTCCTGTTGGGAGAACAAATTTTTTCCCGCTCAACTAAGCGGTAACTTTATAGACCAAAACACGATGTCAATGGTTCTAAATAAATGTAGTGCGACCAGCGTTATTAATAACTTTTTTCAAAATTATATCAAGCGATAAATTCTGGAGTGCGTATTAGCGGATAGACTGCGAGAATAGATTTTCATGTAGGGATCCTAATTACACATAGTGCGAAGATAGCTCACTTTTGAAGTTCTGAATAGATCATATATGTGAACTGCGGGGTGAAGAATTATGTGAAAGTAAATCATCGCAGTTATAGACGCAACTTTTGCAGTTCCGAAAAAAAAAAAGCTCGAAAAAACAATTCAGGATTGTACGGGATTCGGACCCTTTACCCCTGCGATACCAGTGCAGCGCTCTTACTACAAGGTGAGTCAACAAGCCAACAGGAAGCAGATCGTTGAATTGGTTCGTTATATACCCGTGAAAGGATGATGATGCAGTTATGAATATATGAAATTCATATATGTGAAGTGCGGCGTGAAGAATTATATGAAAGTATATCATCGCAGTTATAGACGCAACTTTTGCAGTTGCGAAAGTAATAAGAAAAAGAAGAAGAAATCGACACTAGCTGCTGGATTTCTAAGTGGTGTACAGTCGTTTCGCTAAAATTCGCTGCATAATATAAATGAAATCGATTCGCTGCAAAGAAGTAAAGTCGTTCCACCGCATCATGAAGTTCGCATACTAAAGTAAATTACCTTTATAATGAAAGTTCGTCCCTTGAGTTTCTGTTGCTGATATTTTCGTGGAATCCACTCTATTTCCATTTTAACATTAACAGTAAGTAACAGTTTTTCCTAATTCATCCATGGTGGTCGTAAACTCATTAAGTGACTGTATGTATCTCAATTTAAGCATGCTAAACCTTGATAGTGCTTCCTATATACATTAGATTTCTAGTAGCCCCTGGAAAATAGCAACAAATAAAGCAGACGAGACACGATATTTTTTTTGAATGGTGCGACAATAAAGGCGGATTAATCGGATAATACCAACGAGGCGACATGTCACGATAAGTGCCATTGAGGAGTCTCAAAAGCGAATCTCATAGCAAGGGAATGTGATAACTAACGATTGGCCGTTTTAATACTAGAGGACGCATTATCTGTCTTTACCAACTTGGGAAAACATTTTATTGTTCGTCTGCTTATACGTCTAAAATCCGGATGGGCACAAGACGCATTATGCGTCTGGAGGAACTTTCCTTTGAAATACTTCTTGAATCGAAAGACGCACTACGAAAGGTGTTTCCTGTGGAAGCAAAATGTGTCTTTTGCCCGTCTTTATGCTAAAGAGGCATGAACAGACAAACTACAGAAATGTTTGCCCAAGTTCGTCCAGGCGGATAATGCGTCCTTAGTATAAAAACGGCCGATGGAAAAACGGACAAACCGAGACAAAAAGAGTTCTTTGACGACTTGACTATGCCTCAACTGGACGAAGTCTTCACAACAGTTGCAATCGTGTGGCCGCATTGCTGCGATAGACTCGCAGTTTCAAAATGTCAGCGCGATTATTCTGCTTTGAGCAAGTGGAGGCCTTGACAGACTTTTGTGATAAACTATATAGTAGTGAGATATCTTTTTTTCTTTTTTCTTTTGTTTTGTTTTGTTTTGTTTTTTAAATTTTATTTATTTTAACAACAACAAAAACAAATTAAATACAAGTAAAAAGTGACAAAATAAAAAAAATAAAAACACACACACCCAAAAGCAAACAAAGCATCAATTGAGAGGGGAGCAGCAGGCTAAAAGCAAAGTTAATGCATCTTGTCCGTTTTTCCTTTTTCTCTCCCTGCTCTTTCGTTTCCTTTGTTTTTTTCCTTGGGTAAAAGGGCACAGTCAAAACAAAAAAAAGATGTAGAGAAGATATTTATATTTAATTGAGTTTTGGAGACTCAGCTCAGGTCAAAAGGCTTATCATAGGCAAGAAGGGTTCCCATTTATTTCTGACAGTAGAGGCATTGTTTTCTATTTGATAAATGTGTTTCAAATAAAGCAAAAAGTTGTTTAAATTAGGGGGATGTTCTTTTAAGCGACAAAGCCAGATATAGTGCTTGGCAATTAAGCAACAAAAATTGATTTGGAGTTTGTGTTTAGATCTATCTGGCCTCAGACCCAAAGCCGTATTTATGTGTAAGTAATTGTGTTCACCCATCGAAAGTTTGGAAGACTGCATCCACTTAAAAAGACTACCCCAAAATTTTGTTTTTTTTCGCATCTCCAAAATAGGTGCATGAAGTTTTCTGTTTTCTTATTACAAAAAGTGCACTTGTCATCATCCTTAAGTCCAACTTTTTTTTAAGAAACAGTTAGTTGGTAACCTGCGATGTAACAGTTTGAAGTAGAAAGTGATAAGTTTACTGCTCTTTGTGCATTGAAAGGATGTCTGATAAGCGAATTTCCAATTAATAATTTCCTTTGGCAGAAGATTGATGTCTTTGCGCCACTTTTCTTGACAGGAAAATGGCCTTTCACAGCTTTTTGACACAATTTCTTGGTAAATAAATTTAGATGGCTTTTGACGCATAAGAAATTTTGAAAAGCGATTTTCATACTTAGATTGGGTTTTGGTGTTTTGTCTTCGTAGACGTTTAACTGCTTAGATTAATCCAAAGAAGGTTAGAGGTCGAACTTGCACGTTATATTTAATCTGAAAAGCAGCAAGGGAAAAGAAATTGGAGGATTCATCCACTAAATGTTTAACTTGCATAATACCCTTAAGAAGCCAGGCTTATTCGGAATTCTTATCAGAGAGCTTTGCCACAAAGGTGACGGCAAAAGATGGTCTTCAGATACTATCGTTTCCTGGAAAAAAAAAAAAAAACTTCTGACCAAATTACAATTATTTCTTTCACAAAGGAGTCTGATATTTTTAAGTTGTTAACATCTTTTTTGTTGAGATTTCCTTTTAATATCGCTTCGCCTCCATTTCTTTCAAGTTCAGAGTCGCTTCCATTTACTGCGACTTTCAGGCTCCAGATATTTCTGGATCCATGTGGTTTTAAGGGATTTGTTAAAAGAAGCAATGTCGATCATTTTTAGTCCTCCTTCTGAATAGTTATTAATCATTATCTTTTGTTTGATTTTGTCTCCTTTATCATTCCATAGAAACTTATAGAAAATTGTGTTGATTTCTTTGATCGCTTCGTGGTTAGTTTGCAGAGGTGAGAATATGTAGAACAACTGAGATGCCACCAGGCTCTTCAAAACTGCTATTTTCCCTAAAAATGTGAGTCCGCGAAATTTCCAGCATTCTAGGATTGATCTAATTTTTTTCAATTTTTTCGTTGTAATTTAAGAATATTATTATATTTGGGTCCGTTGAGAGCCAAACCCCAAGCGCCTTGACTTTTTCTTTGGCCATTTGAAGTCTTTTTCTGGAAGAAGTTTAAGGTCGCAATCTTTTTTAGAGCCTATCCACAGATCTTCGTTCTTTTTAAGATTGAGTCTGAGGAAAGATATGTTACCAAAGGTTTCTATTAAAATTACAGATTCTTAAAAAGGATTCTTCGGAGCCGTCCAGGATTGTCATCGGCATATTGACAACTTGAAATCAGTGCCGTTTATTTCTATGCCTTTAATCCTCTGTTTGTTTTTTTCCGAATGGCGTCAGCAAGTATTTCTGCAAATAGAATAAATAGATATGGCGACAAAGGACAGCCTGGCCTAACTCCTCGACTAAGTTTAAAAACGTTACATGCCCATCCATCATTTAGGATACAGCTTTCAATATTGCAGCAAAAAAGTTCAATCCAATTTAACAGTGAGGGCCCAAAACCGAAGTGCTGGAGAGTTTTACTGATAAAAAACCACTGTAGTGTATCAAAAGCTTTCTCAAAATCAATAAAAAGAAGAAGGCCCGGGATGTTTCTGTATATTTGCTTCTGTAGATTTGATGACACTGTCCAACAAACAAATATTCTCACTGATACACCTGCCTTTAAGAAAGCCAGTTTGATCATTTGAAATGAGCTTTAATTGGAAGAAAAGTTTTAATAGGACTTGAAATGGCTTTTGATGCAATCTTGTAATCACAATTAAACAGCGTTAATGGTCACCAATTCTTAATGAGAATGAGCTCGGCATCTTTCTTTGGAATAAGCTTGACAATGCCACGTCTTTGTGATATTGAAAGTTGTCCAGTCTCGAAAGAAAAATTGAGCGCATTTAGTTGTATTCCGGCTAAATCATTCCAGAAAACCTTGTAGAATTTGCAAGGGAGGCCACCTGGTTTTTTTTCAGAGGCCATGCTTTTTAATGCTTCTAGACATTCCTTTTTGCTTAGAGGTCCTTCGCAAAGGGATTGTTCTTCTTGGCTCAATCGTTGCTGTTCTTCTAGGGGCGGGAGGAAAGCATCTGTATTCTTATTGGTATCTACTTTACAGGTATGAAGATTTTTAATAAAATTTTCACACTCAAGTAAGATCTCTTTGTCTGTAGAAATAAAATCATCTTCACTAACCTTAAACTGTGTTAATGTTGCTTGTTTATGGTGTCTCTTCTCGAGGTTGAGGAAATACTTAGTGTTTTTTTCGCCTTCATTGTACCACCGAGACTTCGATCGTAAAATCGCTCATTTGGTCTGGTATTCAATTATTGTCTCTAGCTCACGTTTTTCCCCTTCAATATCGCACCATATTTGTTTCTTTTGTTTGTCATTGACATCAGAGTGGGTAAGCTGTTCTTCTAAGGTTGTTATTGATATCTCAATTTCCTCTTGCTCTTTTCTTAGATTTCTCTTGCTAGTTGTTCCATATTTAATATATACTTCTCTCACTTTCATTTAAACCATCTCCCATAAAAGGCCATAGTCAACAGTGTTATCTTGAGAATATTCATCAATAGTCTGTGCTATGGTTGACTTAATCTGGTTGACATATTCTGTTTCAGATAAGAAGGAGGTGTTTAGTTTCCAAAAACCTCGGCCTCTAGTGTTAGAGTGTAAAGAAATTTGTAAGGTGATCATAGAATGATCTGTTTTGTAGCCTGCTAATATCTCTGCGTTAATAATATTACAGAAAGTGCATTGATTAATTAGAAAGAAATCAAGTCTAAATTGGATGTCAGCCTTCTTTTGTCTCCATGTAAATCTGGAAGAGTCAGGATTTAAAACTCTCCAGGCGTCGATCAGATCTAAGTTTTCAGAGGCGCTATTGATAACTTCCAATGATTTTTTATGAGTTCTTGCAAGGCCACCCTTTTTAACCTTTTCGACATCTAAAACTAAATTTAATGCTATCAACCCCTTAGTGAAGACAAGAATATGAACACACTTTGTGGGGTAAAGGGGTAGGGGATTAAGCTCTCCAGTCGCAACATGAGGGGACACAAATGGCTTTTACTGGAAGTACAATCCCACGCAGAGATGTTTTCTTCGCAGGCAGCTAATCCGACTTGATCCCATTTAATATGTCGTGTATTAGGTTTCAGTAAACATTTTGTTAAAGGCAATAGAGCACGGTTATGCGCATGCGCGCCTTTGACTCTTCAGAATAAATTTGTCGGGTCAACACTAAATTCGAAATCGCCATTACTGGTACAATCATTGAAAATCCTTCGTTCTGTTCCGACATCCGTCGCTTTGTCTGGCCTAGTTATACTTCGGTAGTGGTGAATAACGAGTGGTTGTGTTGTTTCACCGGTTAAGTTTTAAGAAGACGCAAAAAATAATGTTTTGATCATGGAGGTTCAGAAGAGCATCGTGGCCGTCCGGCAACAGGACGTTCTCAAGAGTCTTTGGAGACAGAGAAGCTTAGCCGATCGATCTGGTATGGTTCTAGGAGCAGTGTGTGGCTTACGAAAAGAATACACGACACTTGGAAAGTGGTTAAAGGCATGAGTTCGTTCAACTTTGATTTGATTTGTGACTCCGACCTGTAGTTATACCGCAAAAGGCCGCGCGATCTTCACCGATCTGGTACACTTGAAATGTTCCTTGGTCGAAAACGCATCAAATTGAAAACGATGACCTTGCTTTACGATCGTATATGTTTAAGAATTGATGTTTTTAAAATAAATTATTGCCTGAATATTCTAATAATTACACAACTGTTCCTGGTTTGTCGGAACACTGATCCGATGCAACGCGAATAAATTTGTTCATTTGCTGATAAGCAATTGAAATTTATGCTCAAAACGAAGGATAGTCTTTATACGCATACGTTGTGTGTTTTTGTCACCGGTCAGGAGCTATTTGTAGGTATTTCTGGGTTTATATAAGGCGAATTGAGAGAACCGTAATAAAATGTTTGTTTACAAATTTTGTTTGCCGATCGGTGACTGTTTTGTTAGCGTGGGTACGACCTCGTAAAAATACACGTTGGTAAATGTTTGTTTCAAAGCAGGACAGGGCTGTAAATCTTATTCTTATCGGCTGCAACATATATCTGAGGAGTAGCAAAGAATAAACTTGAATTATAAGGATATCTAAAATCAAACCAAATACCCGGAAATACTCTCGCGTCACGAGCAATTAATCTGAATTTTGTAAATTTCCTTGCGTGAATCTAACTCGCTTCCGATTGGTTTAAAAACAATCAGCTAGTGTCAGAACTCACACATGCGCATCGTGAACCAGTCCCTTTAATCTTCATTTCGCGCCAGAATAAATTAGTTTGCATGCAAAGGGCTTCTAAAAAAATCGCAAGGTTTGTCCAACTTCGAGTCCACCTTCTGGATACGCTAGCTTGGGTGGCTGGAATACATTCCAGAGGCGAAGATCTGGTATTCTTTCCTCCTGGTCGTTTTTTCTCCACGACATCTATTTATATTTGTAGTGAGAACGCAGTGCATATCGGTGGATTTTACTTCGTGCGGCTTGCTATTTATAAGAGAAGAGTGCCGGATTTCATCGCTTTGTTCGTCTTCAATTTGTTGTCGAATGCAAGGTAAAAGAATCCACAACTGTAAGGTAAGAATTGAACTTTGTTTCCTGGCGAAAAATAGTGCATAGAACTCGTGAAACCCGTGAGTATTACCTCTGTTATACCTAATGTTATGGGATAACTCCTCGCTTTTTCGATGGTTAACACGGATACAAACAAAAGTTTCTTTCGCAAAATTAAGTATAATTTAGTTATCGAGACCATTTTAGGACGATTTTTCGCTATATGCTTCATTACTTGGCTTATTCCAGCTACATGCGAGGAGTTGGATGACAATGTTTGTGTGCTATGTAATTATGTTGATAATTTCTTGGACAGTTTTGCACCTTTGTATTGAAACTCATGAAAGCCAACCTTGTTTAACCCTAGCAAAAAACTCTTCTATTATGGAGAAAATTTTAACACCTTTTGGGGCAAAATATGGTGTAACATTTAGGGAAAACAAAGCTTGATTTTTGTCGAAACGGACTGTAGCTTTTTCCTTTGAAGAGAGGGCGAGCCAAACGCGAGCTTTAGGCCCCGTGAGTACAGTGTAACCTCGTGATTCTTTAGGTAGAGCTAACAAACATAGGCTGTAGTTAAGGTGGCACACCCATGAGTGTAGTGTAACCCAGTGATTCTTCAGGTAGAGCTAACAAACATAGGCTGCACTTTAGGTGGCGCACCCATGAGTGCAGTGTAACGCAGTGATTCTTTAGGTAGAGATAACAAACATAGGCTGTACTTTAGGTGGCGCACCCGTGAGTACAGTGTAACCTAGCAATTCTTAAGGTATAGCTGACAAACATAGGCTGCACTTTAGCTGGCGAACCCATGAGCGCAGTGTAACCCAGTGTTCTTAAGGCAGAGCTTACAAATATAGACTGTCATAGGTGTACATCAGATAACAATACGTTTTCTATAAAACTTTGTGGTGGTAAAATATGCATGGCTCTTCGACTACTTCTTTATTACTAGATACATTGTTTTAACACACATTATTGATAGTTAGAGGACGTCTATTGACTAAAACCATTTACGCACATCACAGAGGTAAGGTAACGTTACTTATACATAGTATTTCGTTCAGGTTCTAAAGTAATAATAATAAAAAGCGTGCTTTACAAAGAGGCCATGTGAAAATATTACATATGTCTAAATTAAGATTTTCTAATTTTCCTTTAAAAACGTAGAGGGATGTCAATTGCCGCACCTAAAGTCAAGCTGTTCCACTTTACATTTCCGCTACGAGAATGGCTTCTTTATAAAATTCGGTGTGGGGTTTTGGAACAGCGAGCTTGTATTTATTTAGGAGCACCCAAAGACTGTTTTCTCTGAAATATCTGTTCGGAGAGGCGCAAATTGCCTAGAATGTTCTATAGCTTGAGGAAGGCTGAAAATTTCTAGATGACCGTTCCATTCATGTACAATTTTCGAAGCTTATCTAATAAAATCCCTACGACTCTCTCAAGACTGTTTTTTGGTGATTTCATTTATGTTTTCGATCCGGCTTTGTTTTTCATTTTTGTTTTCGCGGCTTAATTCGCAGCGAGCGAAAATAATGGATTGGTGGAAAGGAATAATTTCACTTTGGTCAGCGTTGTCCTTTTTTTTGGCGATATAAACTTAATTTATTTTACTTGTGACGGCATTACAGCTTAGTCACGACAGCTTTGGAAGAAACTGAATATGTCCGAATTGCGCCTCGCGCTTTCGCAAAACGGCGGCGGGAAGAATAATATTTTCTTCCAACTAGAGTCTTCATTGTGACTATCGAGTCAAGCAATTTTAAATTACCTCGTTTCCCAAAGTGCGTGCTTCTGAGAACCAGACGGCACTTAATCCCCCAAAATACACAAAGTGTATTCCCCATAGACGAACAGAACAAATATTATATATGCTAAAGCCAATATTATGATATGCTTTCATAAACATGCATAGAGTGGTCTTGGCTAAGACCACAATCTACAGAAGCTCATGATAATATCAGATACTGTGTAAAGCACTAAATAGTAAAAATTTAGTATGAAATAATAATCTTGCACAATTACACACCAGTAAATAAGTTGGCTTTATCAAAACCACTCCATGCAAACAATGTAAACAATAACTAACTTGCGTTTTGAAGTGGATTCAAAGAAATCCCAGATAATATTGACTCAGTTGACTGTGGGCATGGGATGTATCTATCATAACAATCAGATGACCACCCTCCTAATGTTTTAACCAAACATGGGGGGAGGCTCGCTGAAGCTGCAGCTGTTGCTGCACCAAACAATGTAAACATTGAAACAATAACTAACTTGTGTTTTGAAATGGCTTCCAAGCAACACCAGATAAAATTGACTGTGAGCGTTGGATGTATCTCTCATAACAATCAGATGACCAGCATCCTAATGTTTTTACCAACCATGGGGGGGGGGGGGAGGGAGGCCCACTGAGCCTGCAGCTGCACAAACAATGTAAACAATAACTATCTTGAGTTTTGAAGTAGCTTTAAAGCAACCTTACTTTAAGTCTGTAAAGTTATGATGTATGCTGATGACACAGTTATCTTTTTCTCGGCTCCACTAATATCGGAAATTGAGTTACAGTTAAATTTGGAACTGATTAATCTGTCTGAATGGCTGTCTACAAATAAACTGATTCTCAATTTAAAGAAGACTGAGTTCATGGTTTTTGGCACCCACCAGAAACTATGTCGCCAAGACATCGATGGGGCTCATATAACGTTGATAACGTTGGAAGGAGAATCTGTGAAACACTGTGATGCCTTTATGTACCTAGGCGTAGTTTTGGACAACAGTCTTTCCTTTAATTTGCATATTGACTATGTGAAGAAGAAAGTTTCTAAAATACTGGGGGTGTTTTCAAGAATTAGACCATCATTAACAACTGAAGCATCGAACCGATTGTATAAATCGATCATACTACCAAATTTGGAATGCTGTTGTGCTGTTTTTCATGGCTGTGGTAAAGGAAATGAAGAAGAATTGGAACGCCTGCAGAGACGTGCTGCTAGGATAGTGCTAAAGACGGTGCATTTGTCCACTCAAGATATGGCTTCTGGTCTTGGTTGGGACCCTCTTAAGACGAGAAGAGAGAAACATATCGTCAAACTTGTCAAGAATTGTCTTGATGGACAATCTCCAAGTTATTTCTCAGATTATTTTCGACGGCGAACTTATGATATTCATGACTATGACACTAGGTCTAAGGATAGGTTATCTATTGATACAGTCAATCTCAAGTTGACTAAGAGGGCCTTTTTTTATAAGGGGGCTACCCTTTTTAATGTCTGTATGTAGTTTTGTTCATTAGGAGGCTACTTTTTTTCGTTGATTATATTATGTAATGTATCCCAGTTTCATATATAATTAATGTTTTTATCTTTTTATTCATTTATTTTTATACAGGACCCATATTGATAGCAGTTTTTTATAACTGAAATGGTCATCCTGTTTAAACATGTTATTATTATTATTATTATTATTATTATTATTATCATCATTATTATTATTAATCCCAGATAAAACTGCCTGTGGGCATTAGATGTATCTCTCATAACAATCAGATGACCACCTTCCTAATGTTTTAACCAACCATGGGGGAAGACCCGATGAAGGTGCAGCTGTTGCTGCACCAATTCTATAGCTATGACCAGCATAATCTGATGCTTGACAACCCAAATGAGAGAGACGTTGCCTAGTCTCAGCAGTTAATGCATCTTTAGTCAATGGACATCCCGAGGCAAAAATAAAAAAAAAAAGGTCCAGGTGTAGTTCCCCTCCTGGTAAGATAATGCTTCATTGCATTTACAGGACAGATACTCTGATTAGTTTGTCCTATTAAAAGGGTATGCCCCATCCTGAAGGGATCAGTTTTAGAAACCTTGACTTTGACTAAAAGATGAGAGGGGTTGGACTGAGATGGGTGAAAGATAGTATCAAGAGGTGTAAGATGAACATCAGAGTTAAATTGGGAGTTACATTTCAGTTCGCCTAACCACGTGAAACCAAAGAAAGCTAATGTCATAGCAGCCCAGATCATTAGAGAGTCATAATTTGTCGTGTACCTGATTGCTAGAAGGGAGCAGAAAAATCTGAGGTGGGATACTGTAATTGTCAAACGAGTTGTGATTGAACTACCTTGAGATCTCTTAATGCCCCAGCAGACAAGTTGGAAGCGAAGGAACTTCCTAAGGTTAAGCTGGTAGCCGCGGCAGATGTGAAAATGACGGATTGCTGCCAAGTATCCCTTGACAGTGGAATGCTTGATCAATTTATCAAGGTAAACAACATACTGTATCAAAGTCTCCTCGTCTCTTAGTAGAGACTGAGCATGCAACCTGACATGGATCTCGGTTGCTATGGGGTGCTAGCTCCCTGAACTGATCCATCTGAAAGCGAAGAGAGGGAGTCAGCTATGTCATTCCTCTTACCCTCTATATGCTCAGCTCTAATACAAAAATTGAACCTTAGAGTCAGAAGGGTCAAATGACGAACACGATCCATAACCCTTGGGATACGGTACCTCTGTGTTAACAATACTGACACTGATTCATTGTCACAGAAGAACTGAATGCGCTTGTTTGAGAAAAAATTGGCCAATAGATGACAAAACCAAACAATTCTTGCCATGCAATGGAGATCTCTGGCTGACCTAGTTTTTTTGATGGGGTTTCTTAAGAGCCCTGAAACCAGTGGGTTTGAAAAATGCCCCCAAATCCCAGAGAACCAGAGGCATCTGTGTACAGAGACAAGACATCTGAAATGACCCAATGAGAAGGCATAAAAAACGACCTGGCCCATTCCAGTTGCATATAAAATCCTCCCACATCCTAAGATCTTTAAAGAAACCCTTGCTCAACTTAATACGATGGTTGAGGTAAAGAGACGTTCCTAGTGAGCTGGATCATACGTTGCAGGAATGGTCGACCCGGGGGAATAACCTTGCAAGCAAAATTCAAAGAGCCAATAAGAGACTGTAGTTCCTTGAGTGTGCAGGACCTTCTGCCTTTAAATTCAGTGAAACAGGAAGTGAGACGTTGGACCTTATCAGGAGGAAGGCGTGCCTCCATGCGGTCAGAATCAAGAACAATCCCCATGAATTCAAGGGTTGTAGAAGGACCCTGTGTCTTTTGGGTGCGATGGAATTCCCAGATTCTTAAAAGTAAGCAACATGCTAGATAAGCTCTGTTGACAAGTTAAGTTGTGGGGTGCAATAGGCGATGGGGGTTCAATAACAAGAAAATCATCTAAAATGTGGTAAACAAAAGAGATGCCACAGTGACCGTGAAGAAGCCACTTAACTGCTTCTGAGAGCTGATTAAACAGAAAAGGTGCACTCCTTAAACCAAAGGGGAGAACCTTATCATAGTAGAATTTCCCTTCCCATTGCATACCAAAGAGCTCATAGTCACATGGCCTTAGGGGTATCAGACGAAAGGCAGAATCCACATCAGTCTTAGCAAGGAAGCAACCACGACCATTTGCTAAGATTCCTTCGATAGCTGTGTCTATGGTGATATGATTCAGGCTAAAATCTTCCTTTCAAATTGAATAGTTTATGCTAGTGACACCTGACTTTGGGACTGAGAGGTGAAAAATAGTGCGAAACTTATCCGAGTACTTTTTAGGTACTAATCCTATACGTTAGACTTGAAAATTGGGAAATGGTGGTGTTGAAAAGGGGCCCGCTACCCGACCCAGAGATACTTTCTTATCTAAATTGGCCTTCACAAAGTCAGGTTGGGCCAAAGCAGTAGGCAGGTTTCTTGAAAATCTTGTGGAACGTCGCCCAAAGAAACCTGTATTAGCTCTCAGTCTAAACGTTTGCAATAAATTGGAAACAAAAACCCTGTCGGGGTGATCAGCTAAAGAAATCTCAAGTCTATTTACATTAATAGGGGTGTGGAGTGACCCAGCAAACTCATAATTTGCTGTGGCCTGAGGAACTACTAGATTTGGAGGGACGGTGGACCTCCTCACAAGCCCTAGCATAGGTTTTCTTGTCCTGATCCCTGACATAGCCTCCTTTGTTGCGGTCCCTACTGCAGTCCCGCCCAGGGGGTTGGCCCTTACATCTATTACAGACGTGTTGGTACTCGCACTGGTCCCTACTAAGGGGTGTTTCAAAAGTTCGTTCCGATTGTAAATTGTATTTTGCGCAAAGCATTTAACGCTTGTTTAGCCAAATGCAAAGTGATTCAGGTAAGAAATTTATCTAAATAACCGTTCAAAGCAATTTCGAACTAAAATGTGAAGAAATTATATATATATTTTTTTAATTTTTGCCCCAACCGTACACGTACGCGAGGTTTTTCCCGCTATACTTTTCCTACCCATATTGTAGGCTTTCTATTTTGGTATATTTATCGTTTTCTTTTCTTTTTTCTACTCCTTAAGAAAATTGAAGGCCTACCCTGTTTGTGCTAGCCTGCTCAGGCATCTATTTTTATGGTCTTCTGGCTATTCAGTCAAAAAAAAATTGTCTAATTGCTGAAGAAGTCTCAACGATGACCGAACAAGTGGTCAAAAGTAAAGACCTTAGAAGACAAACGAAAGGAGTGGATGGCCGTTTTTTCGCAGACTGTGTGATAAATATTATCGAAAAAGCTGTAAGTATATGCGTAATAATTCCACAAAACAGACAGGTAAAAAAATTTCAATTTCACATTATCGATCACAGTTCCGAGCACAACTGTATGGGGATAAGTTACCAAAACAATTGGAAAGCCTTGAAGAGAAAAAGGTTGTGCAAACCTCATGCGCGCATGGTGTCAAAAGGATTTGCCAACTTTATACCGAAGGAGGACCGGCCGGCAAACCGGCATATTATTTGAACCCCCTAGAGACCATCTCGATTATCGCAGACGAGACAGCAGACAAAGATTCAGCCCCCCAAACACTGGACGAGCTAAGACAGTGACTACGCTTGGCCTGGAAAAATCTGACTTTGGACACGCTTTGGGAGCTCGTACATTCTATACCTCACCGCTTAGAAAATGTCAGAAAACATAAAGAATGACATTCTGGTTATTAATATTTTGGTTATTCAATGTTAAATAAATAATAAATAACATACTAAGTTTTACAAAAGTTTTTTTTGATATTTGGTGGAATTTAAGCGAATAAAAAGTCGGCAACCTTGTCTTCTATCATGGCTCTCAACGTTTCCAGTTGATCCACAGAGAAGGGCAGCAAGTTATCACGGCTGTATGGGTTGTTACCTATACGAGGCACCTGGTTTGAAAGAACAAGATGATTCTGGCACTGATTTGGGTTTTGACTAGTTTCGGCGCGGCGCTTCGGTGGTCGACCTCGTGATACTGGATGCTCACTATTTCGTTGCTTGTTGCCTCTTTTCCTCGACGATGGCATGATGGCAGGTAAAACTGTACTGAACTCAGATGGGATGGTGAGATATTAACGAAAGAAATACTGTAATTCTTGTAGAAAACAGTGCCAACGAGCTTGAAAACTGTGATTCTTGTCAAAGCTGAAGAACTGAATGAATCAACGAACCGAAGCAAACGGACGATCATAATTTAATTAACAGGGAGAAAAATCCAGCGCTGTGATTGGACAATATAATTGACTGCACGTGAAGCCATGTAGGCTAAATGACCTTTGTACCCTTGTATTGCTAGCATTTACAAATACATTATTGTTTACTGTTAGCTTGACTCTAATAAGATAAAGGTTGTTTATTAACTGTAATTTATATTCTAAATTTTTTTTTAAATCGCCACCTATTATGATCTCGTCACACTTGAAATCAGCTAAATGACTAACAACCGAGGTGAAGAAATTTGAATCATCGTTCTTTGGAGCGTAAATGTTTGTCAGCGTTAATTGCTTCCCGTTTACAGTCAGATCGCATATTATAAAACGTCCCTCGGGATCGGAATATGTTTTAGAAATTTGAAAGGTGAAGTTATTGTTAAAAAGTATGGCAACACCTACCTTTTTACTGGTGCACCAGCTGAACAAAACTTGATAGCCCCATTCGGCTCGGTAATCATTCTTATTGTTTTCTGTACAGTACACTTCTTGAATAAAATATACGAATATTTTTTTGCTGGAAGCCAGTTAAAGATTTCTCGCCTCTTGACCTGGTCTCCCAAACCTCTAACATTAATTGATCCTATTTTAAGGTCCATTTTTAGACGTTTGTGTCAGATAGCATCGACTGTCTTTACCCAAGGAGTATTCGAGCAGTAAAAAAGCGAAAATGAGAAATAAGAAAAGATAAACAAGAGGTTGAGTAAAATAACAGTGAGGTTACGCAAAAACACAGCAAACTAAACATTGTCAGGCAAAATGTAAACAGAGACACGCACATTTAAATCAATAAAAGGTTAAATTGACTGGGGACGAAAGACGCGTTTTCTTAGGCTCTCTCCTAAGTTTGAAAGAGAAAAAAAAAAACAACTGCAAAGCTAATAAAAAAGCAACCGCCCGCAATAGCATAAGTTATACAGTGTTTTTTTCAATCTCACAGTGACAGATGGCCCGACAGCATTCTATTGTTTGAAGCAAATGACAAAAGTTATAAAAAGTTATGTAGGAAGTTATTTGCCTACAGGCCATAAGCGCCCTCTAATATACAACTTATCTGGTTTTGCTTGGCTGAAAGTCGCTGGGATTCCTCTTCGTTTAGCAGTTTTAAAAGTTTCTATCTGTACGCTGCGGCGTTTAACAATTTCAGTCGGTAGGTCTCGGAACATATGAAAACTTTGATCCTTTCAAGCGGTGTCAGATGGAAAAAAATGTTTGCTCATGATCATCTTTATACCTCAGGTAACGTGCAAGAATCGCACGAGGATTTTCACCTTTGGTTTTTCCTGTGCGGTGGACACGTTAGAATTCTACGTTCTTAGCATCTACATATCCCAGCTCGCGTTCTAAAAAGCCTCTAAAAATCTCCTTGGTGTCTTCGGGTTGGTCTTGAGGTCCTTCTTCGATGTTCATAAACTTCATGTTTTCGCGTGGAGAATAGGCCTCAAGATATAAGCCTTAACTGCTTCTTCATGTTTTTGCACCTTCCTCGTGAGTTCGGCAATTTCTGCTTGTGCCTTTGCTAACTCTTGAGACTTCTCCGGTAATTGTTTTCCGACAAATTTGGCGCCATCTTTCAACTCGCTTATGAGTGAGATATCGGAAAATAGGAAGCATAGACTAAAAGAACCGTTTGTGACTACGAAAATGCTTAAGCTGACACGTGCACAAATCCTCGAACAGTCAAGCGGAACGAGTCATTAATTGTGTCGGTTTTTTTCTTTTCTGAAAATTGTACAAAACGAACAGATTCCGTGTTGCAATTGGTCTGTTCAGTAATACTGAGATTACAGAAGGCGTCAAAATGTGGTAAAAATATCCGTGAATTACTCGTCTGAGTCTCGTGTGCCACTTTGTTGTTTATACCACTGTGATGTATTACTGAACAGACGCATGGCAAACACGGAATCTATTCGTTAAAGGTATTACTATCCATGGTATAGCCCCTACATACATTCAGAACTTAGTTTCTGTGCAATCGCAAGGCACATTTAACCTCAGCATCTAGCATCGTCAACACTTAGAGCTAAGGTCACACTAGGCGATAGGTCCTTCCAGGTGGCTGCGCCCAAGTTATGGAATGCTCTTTCCCGTGAGCTTCGCGATATTCCAACCTTGCATAATCTTAAGAGCAATCTTACGACGTATCTTTTTAAGTTTGCTTACGGTTGAATGGATTTTAATTGTTACATATCGATATTTTAGATTTTCATTGCGGAAGTGTACATATTTTTATTGTTTTGCTTGTTGTAAATAGGTTTGTACCTTTTTTTCATGCTTTTATTACTAATGTAATGCGCATTTTCTCATTTTTATGAATATCTGCGCAATATAAGTGATTAAATTGTTATTATAATTATTAATTATTATTATTACAAAGCGCGGTGATGTTATATTCCACTCTGTTTCTCAACCCTACATGGTGATAGTGTAACCTACCGCAGCAACCAGATCATAACATCCCAGGCCAGAATAAATATTGGCGACCTGAAGCCCTATGTCTTGTCTTATAACTCCCGGGGGGGGGGGTACCTTTTTCGTGAAAAATTGGGGAGGAGCCTTCCCGTATAAACATTTGTTGAGTTAATCCGTGGGCTTAAAACCAGTTTCAAACCATCAATTGTCTGCATGTATATATATTCATGAAGGATGTTGTACTTACCACTGATTTCACAAATGTAAGGAAGATGGTAGTGACATGGCAAATCATTCCATTTCCCTGACGGCATTCTAAGTTCCCCACAATCCTCGTCGTTTGACTCATAATTTTTTGGTTCTCCAGTATCCCAGGAAGTGAAATAAACGGTTGACCTACCGACCCATAGCCATCCTTGCTTGTTTTCAGGATTCCTGTATAAACCAATCCATAAATCTCTTTTGCTAGCAGCTGCACTTTTCAACAACTGAGGAAAGTCTCGTAATTTAGCTTCCGAATTCAGGACAGCGAGGCTTGATCCCAGTGCTTCACACGCGGATTTTGCTGAGTTCCAGTCCAGGGGATTGGAATGGACTTTGAAACATCCGCCATGAAAACTTGAAAGCCAACCTCCTGGACAAAGTACTGTAAGGAAACAAGAGCCGTCGTTATTTGGTTGCTGGTACGGTGGTATTGTAATGACAGTAAGTCAGAGTTGAAGTAGGTGAGCCATCAAAGAAGTAAATGGGCAGTAATTAGCTGTGACAATGGATTCAAGAACTGTCATGGGTCTGTCACTAGTATGCAAAGGAGGAGACCTATTGCCGAGCTAAGATTTTGAGTTGGTTTTTTGAGTTAGATTTTCTAGTTGGATTTGCGAAAAAAAATCACTAAGCATCAAGTTCGATCACAGTACGTAAGACTTTTCAGTGTCATGTTATATTCATATGACAGACGAACTACTGAACCACATGAGGCTGAGCTGAAAGTAAATGTTTGATTTCATGATCAAAGCCTTGTGTTTTAACTAAATTGCAGATATATAACCAAAATGGGTGATCTATACGGTGATCACTACTCGATGTAGTTTTTGATATCGTATTTTCCCTCAACATAAAACCGACTTGTTCCTTTTTGGACGTACCACGTCCTTGAACTCCAGCCCAGGTTACCCCGGAAAAGTAAGGGTCTGCAAAAAAAAGTATTCATGAAGCTTGGCTTGCCTGTGATGTAGTGCAAGTGAGCCGGCTCAACGACCCTCAACCCAGGTCACTTCAGCTAAAAAGCTAGTTTTTTCACTAGTTAAGAAGAATAATCCCTAAATAATTAACCTGTGTATTTTACGTAATAGAACAAGAGTTGCTATATAAAAATGGATCTGTCTGTTGCGGAGCCTTGAAGTGATCAAAATTGTTCTAGGTACCTAATTCAGGTGTCTCCAACAAAATTAACTAAGCATATTGTTTTCCTTTCATACTGACGGCTTTAAAACCGCTGCCAAGTGGAACAGAGCGAGACTGTTTATTTGAATCGGTTGCAGTTATGTCTGTGGGTTGTTAACTCTAGAAATCAGCCTTTCTGGAACATTTTCAAAGACAGTACGGTTCACTAACTAAGCAAGTAGTTGACAATACGGTATTGAAGTATTTTGTACACTGATGCAGGAAAGGAGCAATTGACTACGACGATATCCGATACGTTACTGTATAATGGGTAAGAACGGTACCCTTGATTACCATCCGCTGTCGTAGTCTACTATGTTGTTTTTATTCCTTTTTGGTGCCTAGTCAGTGCCTAGCAAGTGCCTAGTCATTGCCTAATCCTGCATACTAATTAAGTGCCTAATCACTGTCTTCCCGCATATTAATTATGTACTTGGTCAGTGTCTAGCTAGCTAGGTAAAAATGCGTTCCTCCATATTAGTTAAGTGCCTTCCTCCATATATAATTAAGTGGAGAGTCTCTTGGTTTCTTTTCTTGTGGAAGAACACAATAGGAACAATAGACTTGCCTAGACTTGCCCAGTAAGTAACTTTAGTCCGGTTTGCTGAAACGTCCATTTCGAGTATATTAAAAGGAAATAGGAATAAGAGAAGCGATCACCTAGCAACGCGAGAAACGGCTTCCCATATCTTATTTAGCGCTAAAACTCGGATGTATAAACACAACAGACACAGAAAGTAGTGCTGAAAAGTCTTTACTTCAATTTAGCTTATGCCTTTTTATTTAGCCCTAAAACTCGCTTATATAAACAAAAGACACACATACACTAAGTGAAGCTTAAAACTCTTTATTTCAAGTTTGTTTGACTGTTACAAAACCGTTATCTTTTATCTATCTCGAGGAAATGAAAAACTATAGTCTCAGCGTTTCACGCGCCGTTAGTCAGGTAATTATGCAAGTTCACAAGCCCACCGTTGCATTCAAATTAGCTCTGCAGTTAAAACCCATCTTGTCGTATTATTATAAAAACAGACACAAAAAAACAGTTAATAACTTAACAAGGATCAATTGAAAAACGCGACTAATAATTGCTAGCAATAAATCCAGACACATTTCTTAAGACACAAGAAATAAACTTTATGACCCTTTCCCTCCTCCTCCTCCACAATTTTATTATTTTCCCTCCTCAACGTTTTTATTCCCTCCTCCTCCTCCTCCACCTCCTCCTCATTTCTATTGTTTTCCCTCGAAAAGGACAAAGAGGCTAACATCAGGCCATCACATTTGAGTTTGGCCTTTTAGCCCTGATTTTGGCCTCTTTGGCCTTTTCGAGGGAAAACAATAGAAGTGAGGAGGCGTAGTTACTAAAACAAGGAATAACCTACAATGACCTACAATGACCTACAATGATCTACAATGACCTGCAATGACCTACAATGAGCTACAATGATCTACAATGACCTACAATGAGCTACTATGATCGAAAGTGTAATCCCTGTAATGAGCTAAAATGAAGAATTTAGAAAAAGACAAAAAAAAAAAAGATCAGGGGACATGTGTGCATAAACGTAACGCGTTTAGTGTACTGCATGACAGCCCATTTAACGATGGCAGCATCTCTAATTATCAGGCTTGGAGATAAATTTACAGTGTTATAATACATGTATGATGATACTGTTTTTTTTTTGTCCAAATCATCCCTTGCAACCTTTTCCATTAGTTTTATTTTGTCTTGTCTTTTTTTTTTCAAACAAATTGAACAAACACAGTCACCCCAACAGTCGATCCGGGGGAATCTTCAAGGGACTTAAGGGTAGAGATGATTAAAGGAGGCCTTCAAATTCTGACCTTGTTCAAAAGAAAAATTGTTCATTTTTTTAAGTACCCTGGCCTGTATAAGACATCATAAGACCCTTTAAATGGCTTTCGGTCCAACAGGATGCTCTGTTTGTAACGCTAAATAGTAAAATCCATATCCTGCTCAGCGGCCCATACCCATCTAGGCCAAATAAGGGAGTGCCTGCATGACTTCCGTCAATACAGGGTATAATAGTGCTATACCGGTAAAAAAGCAATTGCAATAATCTATTTTCAAGTTTCTCAAGTTGCTAGTGATCAGGCACAATTTTTGTTTTGCCTTTTCAAAATGTGCTTGGCAATTTAATACTATAAGCCTGGTGTCACGTCCAAGCGTGACACACGACAAACATCATTGTCTGTCATTTTGTAGCTCGTTGTAGGGCTTATTGTAGGTTATTCCTTGTTTTAGTAACTACGACACACGTCCCCTGATCTTTTTTCCCTCGCATAATTACCTGACTAACGGCGCGTGAAACACTGAGTTTTTCATTTCCTCGAGACAGATAAAAGAAAACGGTTTTGTAATAGTCAAACAAACTTGAAATAAAGAGTTTTCTTCTCCACTTAGTGTATGTGTGTGTCTTTTGTTTATATATCCGAGTTTTAGTGCTAAATAAAAAGACATAAGCTAAATTGAAATAAAGACTTTTCAGCACCACTTTCTGTATGTGTTTTGTTTATACATCCGAGTATTAGCACTAAATAAGATATAGGAAGCCGTTTCTCGCGTTGCTAGGTGATCGCTTCTCTTATTCCTATTTTCCTTTTAATAGACTCGAAATAGACGTTTCAGCAAAGCGGACTAAAGTTACTTACCGGGCAAGTCTACGCAAGTCTATTGTTCCTATTGTGTTCTTCCAAAAGAAAAGAAACGACTACCCACTTCATTATATATGGAGAAAGACACTTAACTAATATGGAGGAACGCATTTTTACCTAGCTTGTGAAACACTGACTAGGCACATAATTAATATGCGGGAAGGCAGTGACTAGGCACGTAATTAGTATGCAGGATTAGGCAATGACTAAGCACTTGCTAGGGACTGACTAGGCACCAAAAAGGAGTAAAAACAACATAGTAGACTACTTATGTGGATATTGCTGTAGTGTTTGCTTTAAATTGTTTTCCTTTTTGAGCTCAAATGCTCGAGAGTTTATTTATAAAGAACCTTATACATATTAGGCAGCTCAAGTTTAATTTATGGCAAGTGGGTGACTGAAAGAGCTCATCCAGGCTACCATCGTAATTTGAGGAAGTAATTATACGAGCAGCGCGGTTCTTTACTTAGTTTCTGGAGCTTCTGGGAGAGGCCCTTTTTACAATTTCCCCAAACTGCTCTGCAGTGAGGCTGTACAAGAGCGCGATAAATAGTGAGGAATAAAGTTTCTGACCCGCTTAATTGCCCTAATGCCAGAAGCAACCTTTTCATAGATCATCTGAATATGATCATTTCAATTCAGGTTCTGGTTAAGCTGAAAGCAGGCTCAATTTTCGTTTCGCTTTGTAAATAACATTCCGGGGGGCAAGGTGAAACGAAAAGAGAGCCTGACACAAACCTTCTACGAAACGTCTGCTGCCCACTTTTTTGATTGATTGTAATCTGCTGAATCAGCCAACCCAAATTACTTCCGCTGCTTGTTTTTTTAGTATGCAAATTTTTCATACATCAGAAAACTGCAGACTCGCTGACTTTAAAAAATAGCTTTTTCCTTTTAATTTTTTCAACTAAAAGCAAAAAGTCCCCACAATCACATTTAACTTCTTGCGAGATTAAAGTAGATCTCGAAGGCTATTTCTGTTGCCGCGAAAGGTAAACAGTTTTCGGAAAGACGGCGACACGATGTTGTAGCTTTATTACTAAGCGATTTAAAATACTGAAATGTCTATTTTTCTGTTGCCTTTATATTTTCCTCGGCAGTTATCCCCGATTTTCAGTACATAAATCTTTAAAAATCTTGGATATATAATCGCGAACTTTTCCAAAGGATATTTAAATTATCTCAGAACAAACCAAACGAGCTCTCAAGTGCATTTAATTTTATAGTCCTGAGAATACAATTGCAGTTTTATTTTTTTATAAATCCAGGTAAATATTATCTGCCAATTTGGAAAGACGAAACGACACTACTAAAGCTGAATGCTCGGCTCACCTATAAACAAAACGAAAAACAACGACGGCTGATCATTCGCGTAAGCAACCACACGAGGAATAAGCGCTTTTAACTTCCGTTGATTCCAACAGCCATACAGATCTTGTGGCATTGTTCTAACAGGCCAATCAGCGTTGCGGCGAAAATCTGGCCGCAGTGAGTACAAGCCTGTGAGAGTTTGTATCAGGCCCAA